GTGTTTTGGTGTTTGTCGCTAGCACATCGGATCGAAGGCTCACGGGCTTGAATCCCGCCCTCAGAACTCAGAAGTTACATTTTGAGCCATGAATGCTTTAGCGTCTAGCCAATAGAGCGTGTATCAAGTATACGTTTGGATCTTTGCCATTGTTGAATAAAATTATTTGCATTTCAAGTATATTCCTTGTTCGTTAAAAAATTATTTGATGTTTTTTTTTCATATATTTTTGTTGAAACATTTTTGTTATTTCATTATTTTTCCTTCTGCTTGACGGATATTAAAAATCTCCACCATTAATCAAAACATGATCCACCTCAAAGAAAAACTCAGTGTGATAATCAACTAAAGAACAATTTCCGTCAAGGGACAAAAGCTCTTCAGAAAGCAAAAGAAAGGAAGTACGGTCCGGCGATTATGTAGCACAATCAACCCCTTACTATTATTCTGGTCTCGTAACAATTATATATGTAGGTAGGCTAATTCTGAGCGAGACAGGATGTGATGTAATCTTGTAGCAATTGGCCTTATCGTTACAATCGAAAGCTGGAGGAAAATTTTCCCTTCTAAACGAAATCAATTATCGGGCAGTTGTAAGAGAACAAGCAGCTTGACCCCCGATTTTATAACTTTAATTTATACAGTACCTTGTAATTGTTTAAATATATTAATTGCTTATTCCTGAAGAAAGATTTTAATATGAATTAAATTCCTTTCGTTCATCAATTACGTCATGAGCCATTAGACTTAGTTTCCATCAAGGTTTCCTTAAAAGGACTTTGAAGAAACCTTTTAGAACATGCAGTCTATTATTATTTCAGATTTTCAAGTGTTTGGTAGAAATGGTTGTATGAACAGTTCAAAAATTGAAATACAGAATCATCCCACGAAGATTTTTAAAAAATGCAAACATTTCTGACAAGGAAGAATTCTGATCAACAAAAATTCCAAAATGAGACTACATAGTTCATATCATTCATTTTCTCGGTCTTGTAATCCTTGATTCGTCTATGAAAATACCGTTCAAATTGGGACTGAAACTCACTACAAAGGATTTGCTAACTCCGACGACGAAAGAGATTTATAGGTTTTGAAAATCAGTGCAGTGGCAACGAGTTGCGAGCGGAAAACGAACAATTTCAAAGCCTCACAAATTTGATTTTTGATGTTTTCGAATTTCTTATGATCCTAGTAGTAGTCAATAATTTTATTTAAGAGATTAGATATTCTGAAACCAGACAAGCCCCATGTTTAGAAATTTTAAATAAATTCATATAAATGCGTGAGAGGTACAGTTAATTTACTCTTTACTAATATAGTTTCAAGATTTCACCAAAATTTGAGCGTTATACTTAGAGAAGGCAAAAAACGTAAAAGAAAATTGCCCAAAATTATTTCACATTGACGCCTTTTCTGATTTGTAAAATAAAATAGTCCAACGACAAATGAGAATAGTGAATGTGAAAGCAATGAATAATTTCAAAGTTGAAAACACATTTCGCGTTCTTGCAATACATATTTTTATCGCAGCTATAAATAATAGTGTCGTCCGGAAGTGCAAATACATTTCGTGGATGCTTTTGTCAATGAGAACTAAGAAATAGGTTTATTTTATGAATTTTGTATTAAACAAAATTTATGAACAAATATTAAAATGGGTTAATTCCTAAATTATCATTGCGGTACACGTTCAATTAAAATCTTGACAAAGATAAGCATATCATGTTTCCAAAAGAATGTTTGAAAACATGAATACAAATCTTTTTTAAAATTAGTTTTGCATTACTTTGTCGTAAGCGTCCACAGACCTACGGTTTATGTTGCACATTGTTTGCAAAACATGTATCGGTGAATATATGGGTTTTCAGTGACAACTAAGAGAAATAGCTTATTGTATTTTCATATTAATTATGTCTAAACGTGTTATAAAATACCGTTAGCAAAATAAATTCAATAATTACCCATTAAAAATAGTCTTCGGTTCTATCGGTCTTGACACAAATGAATCGTATAGATTAAGAAGTTACAGTTTTATTGTACAGAAATGTCAAAAAGTAGAAAGTAGAAAAAAAGAACAGTAGAAAACATGACAAGACATGAGAACTGTCAGAGAAGTGACTCCAGGGGTAGTTACAAAAACGTACATGACCTAGAAAAAAAATGAGATACGTTAATATTATTTTATGTGACTTCTGATTTTTGTATTTAAGAATAGTAGTTTTTTTCATAGTTGCAGTGATCTATCATTGAAATTCACAAAGGTATTCTTAAGGGTAATTACTGGAACTGGTCAAGTCGCTCTAGTTTTAAATATCATTTCTTGATTTGATACGCATTGATCAAGGTCCAATTGCAAAATTATTACATTTACATGAAAATATGCAATGTGAATTACACCAGGTGGGGAAGACACATTTTTCAGGAACTAAAACGTGTTTATTTACGTGTTTCTACAAATTTTTAGTATCTGTTTTCATCAAAATATGTTATAATGTAAATTCGTATATTGTTATACCAGTTATTGTATCTGTTGATATTTGTAGTGAAAGTGGAGAATGGAAGACGTCAGGGGAGTGTTCGATTTGTTAATTTTCAAGCATACTGTGCCTAAAATGGTTACCTTAGGTCCGTATCGTCCCTACAACTGTAGGGCGCCTTTATGGCCTCCTTGATTGTCATAGTTTTCTACTTCTCCGTGTCAGCGCTCTATTTTGAGGTTATGTCACAAACATCTATTAGCATCAAATTGTGCTTGCTTTTGAGTTATATCATGTTTTATGAGCCTGAAATTTCCTACAATTTAAAAAGAAAACATATCTTCACAATAGGAGAGCGCTGACGCTGAACGGGACGGGTGCAATCTAGAAATTTTTGAAGGAGAGAAAGGAGTATGACAATTAAGGAGGCCATAAACGCTCCTTACAATTGTAGGGACGACTGACGATACGGGCCTTGATCTCATCATATGCTCCAAATGAAGCATGATATCTTACACAATTGGGTAGTTTATTTCCAAATTTGTCGATTTGCTTAAGTTTTTTTTTTGGCGTATATAGAGCTTGAAATTATAATAGCGCTATCGTAACATGTACCGGTTAAACTGTTGGAAGTGAACTTCTTGTATTTCCTGTCGCCAGAAAACATAAAAGTTAAAAGTCTGCACGCCCATGAAGGCGAAAGGGTACGCTTCTATTTTAATTATATCTACTACATATATTGACATATAAATAAAATTGAGCAAAGTGGACAGATGTTTCCGACGCATGCATGTAGAGAGTCTGGTTCTTTACAGTGTACACGTCCCATTCGGCATGAAATTATACCAATAAAAAAATACAATGGTTAATTTTCCTAAGTAGAGGGACGAAACGCGAGCAATAATTGTAATTGAGGCATGTACTTAAGAGTTTCTATAATGAATTCACAGGTGTCAGGTGCAACTGGCTAATAGCCTTCCGATGTTCCTTGCAGCAGCGCATTTTCTCATGAATATTGAGCTATTTTGTATGTTTGTGGAAGCAACTACCGGCATGTGGTTCGTACTGAGTAATATAAAGATGATACAAGTTAGTTGAAAAAACTAATATATCTTCTATGGTGCACACTAGACGTAGAACTTGCTGAAGAAGTAGAGGATTCTAAGACCAAGACTTTTAACCTGAAGCAAATTTCTATAGCGTTAGAATATAGTTTTATCAGCTTGAAATTTGTTAGAATTCAAACAGAAAATATAACCTCAAAATAGAGCACTGATACGACACAGTAGAAATCTAGAAATATCCCTGCCTATGAAAATCAAAGAGGCCATAAGGGCGACCTACAATTATTATAGGAACGACGATACGGCCCTAAAACTATAGTTTATACAGAATATTACCTATTGTGGAAAGCTGAGGGCTTGTAAAAAAATTAATCCTTGAATTTAAATAAAATATACAGTGATCTTCAAAAAGATCCTTCCCTTATTTTTTGAATGAGCATCCAGTAGCGAGCTGTAATTCGGGAAGGTGAAATTAATGCATGAATTTTAGCGTAAAAGTGATAGTTGAAAATTTCAAGATGGCGACAGGACGGACAATTTAAATAAAATCAGAGATCAATAGTTACCCTCGTTTTGAAGCTCTTTATAACCCTAGAGGATAAATTTACTATTTTTCAAAATGGGGGACTGGCAAATGACACTATTTTTTAATTGGAATGCCTCATTTTTCAAAACACATTCAGATAGCTCATTCCAAGAAAATAAGATTGACATATCATGCTAGAGCGATTTGATGATTGATTGTTGAGTTAGAAACAATTCAATGTACAATATCGCTCAATTTTGATAGCCCACCGGTCCGTCATTTTGAAAAATAGTAAATTTATACTCTAGGTTATAAAGTACTCATAAGGAGCTTCAAAATCAGGTGGCACATGACCCCATTCCATTTACTAAATTTGTCCAAGATCGCACCTACTCATAGAGTAAATGGGGAAGCTAAAGCAAATGAAGCTTGATAAGCATTATCTGTCATATCAAAGGTTGTCACCAGACGTTAAAATATCAAAATTAGGTCTTCTTTCTATCAAGTTTGTGTTTTTATATTGAATCTGCCTTTTTATCATCTACGTGTTTAACCGCTTTGACTCCCAATCACACATACGTCCGCCTAGCGGGAGCAAATTCGGACATCGTTGCCATTTCAATGTTTCTGTAGGATGTAGCTTCAGGTTCGGCAAGTAACGTTTCCTTCAGTCCTGAGAAGTTTAATCCATAGTTACATCTTAAAAAAGTATATTTAGCTTCCAAACAAGCCATTGAAAAAATCAGGAATTTCAACAGCTACGAGGGATGTCTTTTAAGTTTTGCATGTAGAAACATATTAGGCCGCGCGGATCGAACGTCAGTACGGGATCTTAACCTCACTCTTTAGTAAACTTAAATTCAAAGATCCACAACAATACGTGCAGTGTTCTCACTACAGTGCATTTTTAAGTGTCACCAAGTCATTAGAAAAATGGAACTCAACCGAGAACATTTTCGCGCCATAATTTATTACAACTTTCAGCAACAAGAATGCCTTGCTGAGTTACTGTCTGTTTTCGGCAACGAAGCGCCACATCAGTAGACAATTTCCTGTCGGTATGGAGAATTAAAACGTGGACGGGTGAGTCTTAGCGACGATCCCAGGGTGGGTGCACCAAAACGGCAGTCACCCAGGAAAAAGTCGATGCTGTGCGCAAACTCATCATTGAAGATAGCCATGTGACATATGGCGAGGTTGAGGCGTCCTTGAAGATCTCAAAGACCTCAATTCAATTCCGGAAACTCAAAAAATGTGTACAGCATTGTGAGTGGTGATGAATCGTGTATTTACTGTTATGAACCAGAAAATAAACGACAGTCGGCTGATTGGGTGTTCCAAGGTGAAGAAAGCCAACAAAAGTCATCCGTTCTCGAAGTGTTTCGAAAAAGATGGTCGCGACATTTGTGTCAAAAGCGGGTCATATTGCAACAATTCCTCTTAATGAGCAAAGAACTGTTACTGCGGATTGGTATACCACCATTTGTTTGCCAAAAGTCATCACCGAGCTTCGAAAAATCAACCCCGAAAGAAGAACCATCCTCCACCAAGACAATGCAAGCTCGCACACAGCCCAAAAAACAAGGCAGTATTTAACGGCAGAAAACGTGAAATTATTGGACCATCCTCCGTATAGTCCCGATCTAAGTCCTAACGATTTCTTTACTTTCCCGAAAATTAAAAACAGACTGCGTGGTCAAAGGTTCCAGTCACCAGAAAAAGCAGTTGACGCATTCAAAAATGCCGTTTTGGATCTGAGAGCAAACGAGTGGAATAAGTGCTTCGAAAAGAATACTTCGAGAAACAATAAAGTCATTTCAAACTACCTACCGTGTTGTTTTATTTCCATATGCAAAACTTAAAAGACCGTATTTCGCGAGTCTTCATATAAATGAACATTTTTTTTGATGAACTGGTAAACGTACGTATAAACTCAATTTGAAAATTTTAAAGTAGGTAATACAATCAACATGTGGTAGACAGCGATCCAGCACTGTTTTGATAATAACCACCCAGGCGTTTCTGAGTTTCGGATTTCATCCAACCAAGTTCTCTGCAAGATTTCTTAAACAAAGATGGTATTTCCATGTTTGCTTTCTGCACTCTTGTTTGCCCGAGGTCTCATGTGCAGACAACTGTAAATAGAATGAGTTGATATAATTAGTTTACACGTGAAGTAGGGACTGTTTAAGAGAGATAAAAGCATGCTATAGACGAAGAGTTTCCATACCAGTTTGAAAAAGGGATATCATTACGTTTTGTTAATTTTTATAAAATTCAGAAAGCGATGTACCTACTATATATAGCATAGTATTTGCCGCGTTTTCGAAAACAATGGAGTAGCGGTGGACACTTCTGGAACATTTCCAAACTCTTATTAGGGGCTGCTTTTCGAGTTGCCGATCTTTTAATCCCCACGCCAATCGGCATTCTTGGTATCAGTAAACGCGTTCTATTAAATAGAAGCTTCTGATCTCGGTAATATTACACATCCGTTAGATATACAGTGCAACCCTCTTATAATGGACTCGGCGGGACTGTCTTAAAAGCATCACTTTTTTTAATGAAAAAAGCAGCAGAAATAACAAAGTAAAAGCGTAAAATGTGTTTGTTTAACATGTATTACATAAATAAAGATACATACAAAAAACTTATACGTAATTATGAAATTTGCATTTTTTAGAATCTGATACACATGTTACAGGCCTACGTACTGTGTAGGTATGTGTAAAAACCGTGAATTATTTGGTAAAAAAGCTAGTAATTTTCATTTGAACAGATTGTTTTTTTGTATAATTATTTAGAACACAGCAAGTTGAATTTTATTTAATTTGGTAAGTGTGGCTGTACTGTCTTCTTCTTGCTGAAAATAACGTTGCAACTTTTTCACGCAGTCTAATGCCTCCTTAGTTGTCACTGGAACCTCTTCTTCATCGTTGTTTTCTAGCTCGTCTTCCTGTTCGTTATCAACGGATCCTTCATTAACCAAATTGGGGTTTGACAATTCCTGTGTTGCTATTAAATTATTGTCAAAATTTACATACTCAATAAATTTGTCTATATTCAGTAAACTATTAATTTTCAGTAAATGGAATTTCATCTTCTGGATTAAAATCGTTGACTATTTCAGTTATGTTTTTCCCATGCAATAGTAAGCAAATTTATAGCATCGAAAATGGTGACGGCGTTGGTACTGTTGGCATCTTCTTGAAGCTCCATAATTTTCATCAACATATGTTTCCGATACATTTGTTTAAGACTCAAAATGGTACCGTTGGTTGCAGAACTGATGACACATTGGGTGGAAAAAATTGAAGGTTGATGTTATTAAGTGAAATATTTGGATGAGCGGGGCAGTTATCGACCAAGAGCAAAATGTTACGATTTTTTTTTGACAAGTTCAGCGTCCCAATTTTTAAAATATTCTTCAAAAATTGATGAAGTCATCCAAGCTTTATTATTTCCAACATAATCGACGGGAATTGTTTTAACATTTTTGAAACACCCGGGATTCTTAAATTTCCCTGAAATAAAAAAGTCTTAAATTCTTTGCAGCACTGCCATTGAATATCAAAAAAATTAGAACATGAATTTCTATTCATTCACTTACCTATTATAAATAGTTTCCGCTTTTTTGATAGTTTCCCTCCATTGCAAGTTTCACCTTTCAATTTATGAGTTTTATCTGCTCGCATATAATGGATCAAAATAGTGCGCTATAAACGAGGGTCTATTTTAAGCGAGTCTATAATATCTGAGGATTTTACATGCAATTATTTAGAGGATCTTAAATTACACATGTCAAAGTTAATTTAAATCACGTTACAGAACACGTCTCGAGTAGTTTCTGCCACTGCCCGATGATGGCTGTTTAGTCTGACCCGCAGCATCCCTTGTAACGCATATTTTTTTTTTAAACAAGAAACATAATCTAATTGATGACAGATTCCCATGTAAAGTACAGAATTATCCTGGTTGACCTCATTTTCGAGGGTATTAGGAAAATCCAAACTTTTCCACTATTCACATTTGAGAATATTTTTTACGAAATATTGAATTAGGTCATGCATGCAATGTTTTCAATACAGATATCTTCAGTTAAACCACAAGATGGTTTTCAAATTATATTGACAATAGTAAAAAAAGATAGATACGCGGCATTTGTATGTCTGTGTGTAAATTGAAATTTTTTTGTCACTGCGTGGCAGTACCAAGGACTACTGGCGGGGAAGTATTGTAATCGCGAAAATATTCGAAGATATTATGTTTTTTGGAGAGAGTAATGGACAAAAGTATAGAGACAAATATGAATATTTACCTAAATACGTTTAGAAAACGAATTCATACTTCATTGCTCCATAAACAAATGCGTTATTAGTAGAAAAACTAAATTCCTTGACTTTACATTATCTGCAATAAATACAATACAACTCTGAATATAAGCACTCTTTTATGAGGGACAAAAATATGTAGACAAATTCTTTTCAACATCAGTTTAGTACAGTTTCGTGTCAGAAGAGGATTAGTTTGTGTTCACCAAGTGGAATAAGTTGAGTGATTTTAAGATCATTGAGTTATACAAAGATGGTCAACGTCAAGTCGACATTGCCAAAAAATTGAAGCTGAAGCGCAAAGCAGTTTGGGCAATATTGAACAAATATAAACAAAAAGGTATCTTGGAAGCCTCTAAGAGAAGGGGTTGGCCTAGAAAACTAAATGCTAGATCAGTTAGATTAATAAACGTAATTTTGTTCCAAAGATCCGTTTAAAACCCCAGGACAAATAAAAGCCGAAATCGAGCAAAAGGAATTGTCAGTGCTTCTACGAAAACTATAAGTAGAAGATTAAATGTTTGAAGTTATTTGTACGTCCCCGAGTAAGAAGCCGCTAACCTCGAGGACAAACCGTAAGGACCGATTACAATTTGCACGGTTGCATCTTGATTGGAGCATCTGTGACTGAAAGAGGGTATGTTTCAGCGACGAATCCATGTTCAATATGTTTGGATCAGATTGTGTTCATTACGGTAGACGTCCTAGTGGACAAAGATTTAACCCCAAGTACACTTTGCCCACTGTCAAACATGGAGGCGGGTCTGTTATGGTTTGGGGGTGCTTTTCAGGTTTTGGGATGGGACCTTTACATAGAATAGATCGCATTATGGATAAGTTTGTATACACAGACATACTAAAACATGTTATGTTACCCTGTATGGAAGACAATATGTCCTTAAGATCCGGATAATGACCTGGAACACAATTCAAATCTCGCAAATAAATTATTTCTGGATGAAAAAATACCAGTTCACAAATGGCCTTCACAGTCTCCCGATATAAATCCCGTTGAAAATCTACGGGAATACTTAGATAAGCAAACACGAGATAAAAATTATTCAAACAAGGGTGAACTTTTTGCCGCTTTAGAGGAAAAGTGGAGACAGATTGATGAATCTTATATCAAGAAACTTCTACAATCTATGGCGAGACGATGCCAGGCGGTGACTGATCATAATGGTTATGCTACAAAATATTAACACAAACATGGTTGCTTTTCTCTAATTCAATGAACTGTGCTTCTTTTTTCTATAACTGTTTTGCTTTGTCCATATATTTTTGTCCTTCATAGTTCCAGTTTTTTCCAATTATTTTTTTATTGAAGGGAGTCTAATGAATTTATTTATGAATAAGTGAGTATTATGCTATAGAGAATTATGTATACAGGTTGGTGTATTGATAAAGCAAGTTAAAAAAGAAATACAGCGGCAATATTAATTTGTCTATATACTTTTGTCCATTACTGTATATCATGCACATGTCGAAAAACCATGCCACTCTGTTCCGTGGGTCTGTCTGTCTGAGTGGGAAGTTCGGAGTTAACTTATTTGACGCCATTTTTTTTCTATTCCAACTCAGCGCAAACTTTGACGCAATTTTTACATTTTTATACTTCCACACTTCCGTCAATTGATTCAATGTCTTCATGCACCCGATAAGCAAAACAAAATCCCTCTTTTCTAGGTTCAGTGTCCCATGTATCCCCCATTTCCCACGACGCATATTCGGATTTTAATCTATTGGACAGGTAGACAGCACCCCGCAGCACCCCGTTTCGGATCTTTAATCATTATTTCAATAGCTCATGCTCGTCCCCTAGCTGGAGGTAGCGCTATTCCTAGATTCTCACCCCTCTGGGTTGTACTGTCACGTAATTTTATGCAAATTGCGGATTGTTTGTGCATCGCAGGGTGTGCTTTGAGCTTTTTCAAGAGCAATTCGAGAAACTAGGGGTTTGCGCTTGTGCAAACATTCTTCTTACTCATTTCGCTTTGTCTTTTTGATAATGCAAAGTATTTATTGTTTTCAGTTCATATGGAAAATGAATAATTTTTATGTCAGGGGTTCGGTTTTGCTTTAGTCTAAGCGGATGAAATTTGTATTTTTGGTGACGCATCCGAAAAGACATGTTGACTACTGACTGTATTACAATTTGAGAGAGAGTTCTGCAATTCTGTGATGAAATAACTTGAAATATTATAGTCATAAGAATATTAGAGGCTTCATATTAATCTAACAGTCTATGAAGATGGCAAAACAAATATACCACATTTCTCTGATGTTTTATTATATATTATCACATATAATATCGTAGTTTAGACTGCGTCTCTTCTGGTCAAACCTAGGGGTAACTTATTTCGAATTGTTTGTAAAGAGAGATATCTCAACTAGCAAATATTTTTTATAATTTTTAACTGTCCGTGATATTTTATTTTATAATTGTTTTAAAACTGCTCTTAGAATGCATTTTTTAATAAAATTGCCACAACAATCTGATACGACGTTTAGGAGTATTGAACAAAATTAAAGTTATTATATATTAAAGTTTAATTTGTTTCATAATAGATTTATACTGGTGTTATCCGATACGAGTTTATTCGTTTGTGAACATCAATAAAATTGTTTTACTAAGTCTCTGTGAACATTTATAAAATTGGTTTATTAATATTTCCTTTCTCGCCAAAATATATTCCACTCAGATGATACCTTAAAAAATTATTATATAGTTATATAAAAAAAAGTTAGCAAGGATACAAAAATTATAAAATATCTTAAATAGTTGGGAAGTCGTTTAAATTAAGGTAAGAATATGTGTTTCAGTGCTTATCCATAACCCGTACAAATTAAAGAACAAAATTGCTGCACTAGAAGTGTGCCATTTTTTGGTTTATTAGCAGTTATATATAAACGTTGTTAGAATGTTTATAGCGCCATTGTTATTGTATAAAAATAGTTCTGTAAACGTCGTTAGGACATTTATAAAACATAAATTGTTAGTTGGGAGAGTATTAACCCTACTGATATTTTTTGCTCAATTAAACGATGCACTATTTAATTGTTTTTGAATATTGTTTTTTATCTCGTAAATCATTTGCTTTCCTGAAGGCCATGCCGCGGCCATATTACTGATACATCATATGACTCCTTAGCTATTGCAGATAAACATTTTAATTTACGATTAATTATTTTCCCAGGTCTGTAATTTGTTGTTATCCTTACCATTCCACAGGCGCTGTGAATATTGTAATTGGCGCAATTTCTATACAAAAACCTGTTTGTTGTTTGTATGCGGAACACTTACTACCCGCGTCAAAGGTTACATCGCATTACGTATTCCACCCTGTAAGCGCATAGAGGGGTCGCAACTCGCAGCGCAGCAAGTTGTGGGAATTTTTTATTATACAAAGGACAAAGGTGTCAACTCACCTATAGTAGATTTTGTTGTGTAATCGGGCACCGTGAATGACAGGAGGTAATTTTTACCTATTCATATAAAAGCAAGGTATTTTATTTTTTGTATAATCGCTATAAAAGGATTTGTTTTATGAAAATGAAATATGGTGAAGTTATTGTGTTTCCAATAAAATGTTTTTTTAGACCATGGGAATTAAAAAGGGATCGACCGATACCGATATGGATATAGGCAGTATGGGCCAATTTGCCGATGATTGGCCGATATGACTTCATATTCCGATATAGGTCGACCGATATAAATCATAAAGTTAATAAAATTCAAGGGGTGAGGGGGTATTGTCGGAGATCCTCTTTGTGGGCGATGTGACGATGAAGATGAGTCCTCCATACTTATTATTAAGTCACTATGTAGTCTAATCCTATTAGACAAAAATACCCCTAATGGTAAATAAAGTCTGGCTTTATTGCAGCATGTTGTTGAAGGGGGTATTCAATACATGGACGCATGGGTACACCAATTTTTGTAGGAAAACTTTTTATTCGACAACAAAGAATGAGAAAACGGGTTTTTTGGGATTCAATCGAAAGTGTTGACAGGAATGAAAAACTTTTCACATAAGATTTTTAGGTGGTCTTTATGAGACCTACAAAATGAGACTGCATCTAAAAAGATCCGACTGATAGCAAAAAAGATCTCCAGGTTTTGGCGGTTATTGGTAATGCGACGATGGTTTCTCGCAGATATTTGAAATTCTTTAAATTCGTAGGATTTGTACTTCTAAATGGCCACAACAAAATTGGAGTAGATAGGTCAAGTAGCTTTTGAGAATTTCTGATTGTTTATCCCAAAACACCTGTTTTCTGGCAATCAATAGCCTAGTGAGCAATATACAGGGTTAGTTCAAAGGGAATTTTATAGCAAAATACACTAGTCTACTTTGCCTATATGAATTGCAAACCATTCCGGAAGATAAATATTTTTACGCAAAAAAGGATGGGGTACGTTTTTTCTTCTAAGCAAATTCAAATATTTCGTATTTGTGAATAATTCCCAACAAAAGATGATAGACAACCGCCTTGTTTTAAAATGTGTATAGTTACTTATGTTTGTCGATTATCGAAGGGGATTTTGTTCAATTACTCACAAATACGAAATGTTTGAATTTGCTTAGAAGAAAAAAACGTAACCTTTGTTTTTTTGGAATGGTTTGTGATTCATACCGGCAAGGTAAACACGTGTATTTTGCTATTAAATACTCTTTAACGAACCATGTATTATTGCCCAATAAACTAGTAGTGATGGCCGGAAAACAGGTGTTTTGGGATAATCATTTAGAAATTCTCAAAAAACTACTTGACCAACATAATCCAAATTTGTTGTTTTTATTTAGAAGTATGAATTCTACGGATTTGAAGAATTTCAAGTAGTTGCGTGAAATTATCGTCGCATTACCAACAAGTGTCAAAACCTGCATTTTGCCTCGTTTTTCGGCCATAACATTTTTACTATTAGTCGGATCTTTTTACGTGTGGTCTCCTTTTGTAGGTCTCATGAATACCTAAAAATCCTATAAGAAAAGTTTTTTCGTTCCTGTCAACATTTTCGAATGAATCCCAAAAAAACACGTTTTCTCATTCTTTGTTGTCAAATAAAAGTTATTCCACAAAAATTGGTGTACCCATTTTATGCGTCCATGTTTCAAATACCCACTTGAACAACTTGCATCAATAAAACCAGACTTTACAACTATTCCGGGGAAATTTGATAATATGATTAGACTAATGAGACTTCAGTGTGACATGCCCATACTGGATCCAGTGCATTGGAATCTGCATTTTGACGTTGCCGAGAACTACCGCGGATAGAAATAAAAGGATTCACTATGCACCCCGTGCACAGTTCACTATTCGGATAATCGGTGACTTTATACTTCATACATTAAAAAACTATTTCAAATTCAAGGACGGTTGACAACCTTAGATA